TATCCCTTCCTTTTTATAATTTAATTGCATTACACAGTATACACTATGTTTGTTTTGTCTGTTTCTTATGTTTTATAGAAACTAAAAACTGTTTTTTATCTCCATTACAACGCAAATTTGAATATAGCGCTACATCTATCCAGTGTTTTCAAGTTCTTATTTTCTAAAGATATCTAGATGTTATAGCAGCTTTATCTATTACAAATACTTCTCATTCAGAGTGTTTTATTATTTTGGAATATCAGCGCTGGTACACCCTCCCTTCTCTTCTCTTTTTAGAATATATATATGTGTGTGTGTGAAAATGTATCCATACTTACATACCGTAATTTTCTTTTCCTGGTCATATGCCATGGCAGCACAACAATGGGTAGCTCCTCCATATCCCTAATTAGACAGTAACTAATTAAAATAAATGTATAAGTACCTCCTCCTATCCCCTACTCCCCCAGTCTTGATACTAGCAATATCCCTGGCCGGGACCTTTGTGCTGTCATGGCATATGACCAGGAAAAGAAAATTACGGTAAGTATGGATACATTTTCCCTTTTCCTGGCTATATCCATCGCAGCACAACAATGGGTAATACTCAAGCAATAACCAAGGGAGGGAAGAAGAAATAAAAAAAACACAGACTCCGAAATATCATATGCAAAGTGTATTGGAACCACAAACCAAGTGACAAACACCAAAACTTCAGGAATCAAGGGTTTCATACAGAAAGGACACTTTTAGCAAATTGGTCCGAATGACCGGCTCTGACATCCACTTGGTAGTGTCTGATGAAGGTATTGACAGAGGACCGAGCGGCAGCTCTAACAATCAGCTCAGGAGAGACCTTGGCAGAGGAGGCTCAGAAGGAGGAAAGGGATCTCGTAGAATGAGCTTTGAGTCCATGTGGGACTGGAGCTTTTGAGGCCTGGTAAGCTTGGATGATGGCTGATACAATCCATTTGCTAATGGTAGATTTAGGAGCCTGACTGTCCTTTCTACATTTGTTATAAAGGACAAAGAGGCCTGGAGATGTATGCCAAGGGGCAGATCTGTCAATGTAGATTCTGAGACATTTCACCAAATCCAAGGAGGAAAGATCTCTGTCATCACCATCTACTTGTGGAACTGGATGCAAAGCTGGGAGAACAATTTCCTCGTTAATATGAAAGGTGGAGGTGACCTTAGGCCTAAATTCTGGGATAGTAAAAAGGACGACCCTGTCCTTATGGAAGATTGTGAAAGGCTCCTTGACCAACAGAGCATGAAGTTCTCAGACCCTTCTGCATGAGGCCAAAGCCACCAGTAAGGCAGTTTTAATGGAGAGGAAATGGAAAGACACTGAATCCAAATGTTCAAAGGTGTGAGACTTTAGAGCTTGAAGTACCAGAGGCAAGTTCCAAGGTGGAGTGAACGGCTTTATCGGAGGTCTGATTTTTAATATAGCTTTCAGAAACCTGTCCACGTCCGAATCAAAGGCCCATTTGTGGTTAGTTAAAGCTGACAAGGCCGATACGTGAACCCTTCTCGAGGCTGGACTGAAGAAAGCCTAATATATTCCCTGTGGAAGTACTCTGGATCGAGACATCCCTCGAGGAAGCCCAGGAAGAGAAAACATCCCAGATTCTATAGTATGCGTTAGAAGTGGAATGCTTCCTAGCCCTGAGCAGGGTGTCTACCACCGAATGAGAGAAGCCCTTACTCAACAGCCTTTCCCTTTCAACCTCCGTGCCATCAGGTTGAGGGAGGAACAGGTCTGTGTGGAGAACAGGACCTTGACACAGAAGGTCTGGGACTCTCAGAAGACTCCAAGGTGGCTCTACACAAAGGCTCTGCAGGAGAGGAAACCAGGGTCTGCGCAGCCAAAACGGGGCTATGAGTATGAGGGAGACGTGAACCATCCTCATTTTCCTTAGATTGGGAAAAATCAGGGGAAAAGGGGGAAATGCATACCCCTCTCGAAATCGCCAGTTGCTGGAAAAGGCATCCCTCCCCATGGCTAGAGGATCGTTGTCCTTCGTGAAGAAACACTCCACTCAGTCCTCATCTGTCCACTATCATTTGGAACATGTCGTCCAACAAAGACCACTCTCCCGGATCGATTCTGGATCTGCTAAGGAAATCCACAATCTGATTCTATTTCCCCGGAAGATGAATTGCTGTGAGGCCTGCCAGGTGTCGTTGAGACCATGACATCAACTGATGCATTAACACCAACAGTTCTGTGGCTCCTGGTGCAACCCTGATAGTTGATGTAGTCTATCACTGCAGCATTGTCTGTGTGATACTTATTGTGTAACACTTCTTTAATTGGAACTCAACTGCACAATTTTCTGAGTGCAGGAACAATAAGTTTCACCTCCTTTTATATTGAAGTGAAACAATGGTGACAGTATCTTTAAATAAAAAAGCAGGAAAAATGCAAAGTTAGTTCCAACTTAAATAAGATGGAATAATTTATGAGTAATTTAATAATGAAGTTGGACAGGCTTGCAGTTTGAATAAATTGATATTGGTAGGAAGAATTAGCCTTAGCAACAATCCCTATTTGTTAAGTGAGAGATTAGAGAAATTAAATACTGTAAATAATTGATATGACTTGGTTTTCTTGGAAAAAGATTTACTTAACTTAGAGGCAGTCTGGCACTGGAAGGGTTAATTCACCCAATGGAGGAGAAGATAGGAGTCTCTTTTAACAAACTGAAAATCAGGAGTGGAGAGAAAGGAAGTCCGTTTTTGCAAGCCGAGGTCTGGAAGAGGAGAAGGTAGGAGTCCGTTTACAAGCCGAGGTCTGAAAGAGGAGAAGGTAGAAATCCATTTACAAGCCGAGGTCTGGGAGAGGAGAAGGTAGAAATCCGTTTACAAGCCGAGGTCTGGGAGAGGAGAAGGTAGAAATCCGTTTACAAGCCGAGGTTGAGAAGTGGAGCCGGTAGCATCAAGTAGAGCAGCTGATCTCACTGCAGCACCTGAGTGAATAATCCAGCCCTTTGAATCTGGCGCGGTCTTCCTAAGTATCGTGGAAGGACCGCGTCAGAAAAAGGGGCGGGGCTAAGCGCCGTGAACCCGGAAGTGGGTTCCGGCGGCAGCATGAATGTTAGAGTATACCTGACAGTCTGACTGAATATTCACCCGACGGTGATGAATTAGCGAATAGAAATGTTTCAGGGCTTCGAGAACAGCAAAGAGTTCCAGGACATTGGAAGGCAAGTTGTCTGCAGGGAACTTCCACTCGTCCTGCGCGAAGTTGCGTTGACAATGGGCTCCCCAACCCCAATGGCTGGCATCAGTCGTTAATATGTTAATACTATCCACGGAATGTCTCCCAGAGGGAAACCCTTGGCTAAAGTGACACCAAACCAGGGCATTGTGAACTGATAACAGAATCTTGATGGGCTGGAGTAGACTCCTTGAGGACTATTGGACTGAAAGATGTGAAATTTAAATATAGTTATGTATATGTATGTGTATATATATATATATATATATATATATATATATATTTTATTTTATTTTTATTTTTATTTATATATAGGTATATATATATATAGTGATATACACATATATATTCATGTATATAGGTATACATACAGTTAGAGCAAAATTATATATATATATATATATATATAATTATTTTTTGTTAATGTATTTATTTTATTTTAATTAATATAATTTTATGTATATTTTTATATTAATATATATATATATATATATATATGTATTTCTATATATATATATATTAATATTAAAATATACTTAGACTGTGTATGTACATGTATGTGTAAGTAACCATGGCAGCACAACGATGGGTAGCTCCTCCCTATCTAATTAGACAGGAACTAATTAAAATAAATGTTTAAGTACCTCCTCCTATCCCTAGTGTTTGTCAGTTCACAATTCTCTGGTTTGGTGGCTGAACAGTGTCTCCTTAGCCAAGGGTTTCCCTCTAGGAGACGTTCCGTGGATAGTAATAACGACGGATGCCAGCCATTGGGGTTGGGGAGCCCATTGTCAACGCGACTTCGCGCAGGAGGAGTGGAAGTTAATTTGACATATATTTGTGTAATATTTTTACATAATTAAGTCATTTTATTAATTAGAAATTGAGGGACCTGCCTGATAACCCAGGCAAAAAGTCCAGAGAATTTAATTTGCTAGCACTATATTTAACCCTGTAACTTTTCAAGACACCATAAAACCTGTACATGGGGGATACTGTTTTATTCAGGAGACATCGCTGCACACAAATATTAGTGTTTCAAAACCGTAAAATGTATTATAATGATGATATCATCAGTGAAATTGACGTTTTGTGCATTTTCCACACACAAAAGGCATTTATACTGACAATATAACTGTTGTGATACATTTTACGGTTTTGAACCACTAATATTTGTGTTCAACAAAGTCTACTGAGTATAAAAGTAATGCTCATTTAAATGTTTTGTGGTGTTTTCAAAAGTTACAAAGTCAACTGCATGGTAGCCCAAGAATGAGAATTATCCTCATTATGGCATACCATTTGCAAAAGTAGACAATCGAAATGGGGTCCAGTCTTTTTTAGTAGCCACTTAGTCACAAACCCTAGGCAAAATTGGCATTCAAATTAGTTTTTTGCATTTTTCACACACAAACAAATATTAACGCCAACTTTGGCCAGTGTTTGTGACTAAATGGCTACTAAAAAAGATTGGACATACCCTATTTGCAATACCTTGGGTTGTTTACTATTGCAAATGGTATGCCATCATGGGGATAATTCTCATTCCTGGGCTACCATACAGTCTCAAAGACAATGTAACCAATCTGGCGAATTTCAATGTGAAAAAATGAGAAATGTAACATATTTGATCCTGAAACTTCCCTGTTTTACACGTGAGACATCGCTGAATGCAAATAAGTATTATGACATTCACAGTTAAAATGTCATGAAGAACTAAAAAAAATAACATTTCTTAATTTCTCACATTTTTTTTTATATTTTATTCATATTAAATTATGTTTCATAGCTAAATATGTCCAGTCAATCTTAGTAGCCACTTAGTCACAAACATTGGGCAACTATTAGTTTTTTGCTTTTTTCACACAAAAACAAATATGAACGCTAACTTTGGCCAGTGTTTGTGACTAAGTGGCTACTAAAAAAGACTAAACATACCCCACTTTCAATACATTGGGTTGTCTACTTTTTCAAATGGAATGCCATTATAGGGGTAATTCTCATTCCTGGGCTACCACACCATCTCAAAGGTAACATTACTAATCTGGCAAATTTCAATTTGAAAATGTAACGTTCTATATTTGACCCTGTAACTTTCCAAAACACCATAAAACCTGTTAATGGGGGGTACTGTTGTACTCATGAGCCATTGCTGATTACAAATATGTACATTTTTTTGCAGTAAAACATAACAGTATTATGACATTCACAGCTAAAATGTAAGACGGAAATAAAAATTTAAAAAAAAAATCTTATTTTCTCACTTTTTTTATTTTATTCATAATAAATTAGGTTCCATATATGAATAATTAATGATAAATTAAAGCCCTGTTTCTCCTGAACAAAATGATATATAAATGTGGGTGCACTTAATGTGACAGCGGTGAATTACGGTTGAACAGACATAAAGCACAAATTCCAGTTTTTGTTTACATTTTGTTTTGATCAGAACGTGCACTATTGACTCCGTCCTGAAGGGGTTAAGGGGTTAAACCTTTGGCGAGGGAACAGGCTAGGGCATTAATTACTTGGGTATTATACAGTGCTAAGCCTGGGACTCCTACTATGGAGTACGCAAGGGCAGAGTATTTGGAATTAGATAAGAGTGATTTCAGGGTTACAATCTGAAATAAGGGTGTTTTTGACATCTCTCCTGTCTTTCTGCGGTTTGCGTAGCTGGGTGGTTTCAGAGATTAGGTCAGATTTGGAAAACATGGTTATGGTCAGATAGATTGCACAGGGACCTCCTGTAATGTTACCTGGGACATAAGCATAAGTAATATTTCCACATGAGAAAGTCCATCCTTTAGGGAGATAGACATGGTGATGGTAACTCATAACTTGGTGAGTTTGGTTACATTTCCTGGTGGTGTTTATCCAATGGCCATGAGAGGTAACTAAAAACCTCCATTTGTTTAACCCCTTAAGGACACATGACATGTGTGACATGTCATGATTCCCTTTTATTCCAGAAGTTTGGTCCTTAAGGGGTTAAAAATACATAGGGATGTGGAAAGAGCGCAGGTAACTTTTTTTTATTTGGTTTTTACTATATGTATTTTGGCTGATGTGTACTATGGTCATTGCTGCCACCCAGGAGTAATGGGAGTTTGAGCGCAGAACTAGTTTCTTTGTATTTGTAATCTCCAATTAGTGTTAACCACAACACAAGGGAGGAGTTTCATCCCTCCCTTGTGGTCTCTGAGGTCATCACTGTGTGCTGGGTCACATGACTGGGTGCAGGGCCTTATTTAGCATTGTACTGCAGAGAGCCCCAGATGGTATTTTTTCCCCAAGTAAGTGTGTTAATCTCATAAGAGCAGACATTAGGCTGTTAGGGTAAGACCTGCCAAAGATGGGGTAAATTGACGTTGTGGCAGGCTTATGCAATGTATGATCATATAATGTAACTAAACCCCCATTATTTTTGCCTAGATTAGGTGTTTTTAAAAAAACGAATTAAATCTGTCAACATTGAAGTTGCTGTTTAGTGGATAGGTGAGTGCGCTGGATCTTTTGTATTTTATGAATTGGCCCCCAGCAGCACCCCATTTATTCATGTTCAGGCGAGTGCAGCCCCCTGGTTTCATATAGCTGTTGCATAACCAGCCTGCTCGGTGCAAAACAGGGTGAAGGGTTTTCTGTAATCTGGGAGACCCAGTGCCGGGGCTGAGGTGACAAGCAACTTAAGGGTATAAAAGGCTTCCTCTGCTTCAGGAGTTAAATGAAAGGGTTCATGGGTGAGGCAATCATACAAGGGCTACATGTAGATTGCTGAAGAGCAAAGCCAAGGGTGACAATAGCAGATTAGACCCAGAAATGTACGTAGTTGGGCTAGGCTGCGTGGAGGGTTAGTTTGTTCATCAGCACTTTTCATGTCTTTTGTGAGATGTTTTGCAGCATAAAGACATACAGTGTCCTAAAAAGATAACAGTGGGAACACATGCCTGCAGTTTGGCCTTGGTAGCTTTGCACGCTGCTTGCGTTAGAAATTTTAGTAAAGACAGGGTGTGCTCTGTTCAATATTTCTGATCTGGGCAACATAAAAGCAAATCATCAACATATTGTAATAACACAAGATCATTTTCCCTTGGCCAAGATTCTGGAATTTGGGCCATTGTCATGCTATACATGGTAGGTGAAGTTTGAGCATTTTGTGGCAAAATCACTCATTTGTATTGTTTGTGTTTATGTGTAAATCATTAAATCATGTACCATACCATAAACCACAGGTTTTCCTTTCTTCTGTTTCTTTTTCTTGGGGTTCAGGGGGGTATTACAAGTTGAAGTGGTTTGGATAATAATTCCTGCTTGCAATAGCTCCTGGACAGATTGGGAGATGGCATCCTACTGTGCTGGGCTGAGTGGATACTGTTTCTGGCAGGGAGGGTGGCTCCTAGAAGTAGATTCACTTTGACTGGGGGCACAGAGAGTCTGCCTGTATCTGTCTTCCCTGTTGCCCAAAGAGAGTTGGGGATTGATGTCAAGTCAATGGTAACCTCTGTCACAGGGTAAGGCAAAGGAGTGGCGCTAGTACATTAGCAAGAGGTATCAGTTGGTTGTCCTGTAGTTGCAGGGACAAAGATACCTCTCCCAATCTGTTCAGGAGCTATTGCACGCAGGAATTATTATTAATCTAAAGGTCCCTGGTTCGATTAAAGGTTTTGGCACCAAATTTTCATGGAAAGATCCACACATTATGTCCAGGCAGAATCCAAATTGTATCAAGTGCTTGGAAAAGCAATAAGGCACATGACACGTGATAGTTGTGAATCCAGAAGAATTGCTTCTAGCTTTAATTGAGGGAGATCAGATATATACAGTAGAGAATATGTGCTTGCTTTCAAGGAAAGGAATGTAAGAAGAGACATATTTCTAAATGTCAAAAGATAAGCAGTTTACAGATGTACTCCAGTGGGGGCTAGTTTTTGTAAGAAAGAGAACTTAATGTATTACAAAGTTAATTTAAGCATAACACATTACATGAGTACAAGTTAGCCAATTTTAATATAGGCTAGCCATTTATGGCACCTACAAGCTTTAACCTTGAAATCAAGGTGCATTTCTTCACAATGCTAACAAGTATATTGTATCAAGAGTTCAATAGAGCAATTATTTAGTAACTGACTCTCTCTCTCTCTATATATATATATATAAAACTTCCCAATATTTAAAGTTCAAGAACATTTTTTAAAGTACCACACTGAAAAAGAAAATATTCCCTTTATTTGTAGTACAAGTACATTACAAAATGTGTTTATTTATAGTTAGAGGTATTTTTTAAGACTGTGCTACATTTGGCATGACAAAATCAGAGCTGTCAGAACAATGAGTCTTAAAATGAAATGTCCAAACATAGCAATACTTTTTATCGCTAATTTCCTAATTTGGAATAATAGATTTAATCCCTTAATGACCTAGGACGGTTCAGGACCGCCATCGGCATTTTTGCGTTGCCGACCGGTGACGGTCCTGAACCGTCCTAACAGTCAGATGTACTTACCCGATCGCTGCCAGTGTGGGGAGACTGCCGGCAGCCTAGACAGTCTCCTCATGGTGGATTAGGACCCTTGGGGCCATGTGATTGCTCAACAGAGCGATCACATGGCCACAATAGGTGTCCATGTGTCTGCCTGGAGGGGGACTGCCTGTGCTGACAGGCAGTCTCCCTGCTAGTGTAAAATCATAAAATAAAATAAAAGGTTAATGTTGATAAATAAAAAAAATAATTATATATATGTATATATATATATATATATATATAAATATATATATATATGATATATAGACATATATTATATTTATATAATATAAGATATATGTCTATATATCATATATATAATGTCATACTAAGTGTATTTTTATATTAATATGTACTTATATTAATATAAAAATACACGTATAATTAAATTACACACGTATATATATATATATATATAATATATATAATAACAACTATATATATATATATTTATATTATAAAATACAAATAAGTAAATTAAATTACATTTTTTTAAATAATAATTTTTTTTTTTTAAATTATATCTATATGAAATTTTATTCTAACTGTATATTGATATTAAAATATATATATTTATATCAAAATACACTTAGAATTAAATTGTATATATATCTATATCTATATCTAAATAAAAATAATACGAAATTTACATATGTCCATATACAAAATTACATAAATAATTATATAAATATACATGTAGACTTCAAATATATAAATATGCATATATATTTAAATTCTACTTGCATATTTATGTAATATTTTTACATAATTAAGTAATTTTATTAATTGCAATTTGAGGGACCTGCCTGCCATCCCAAGCCGAAAGACCAGAGAATTTAATTTACTAGCACTGTATTTTACCATGTAACGTTCTATGACACCCTAAAACCTGTACATGGGGGTGCCGTTTTACTCGGGAGACTTCGCTGAAAACAAATATTAGGGATTCAAAACAATAAAACATATCACAGCGATGATATTGTCAGTAAAAGTGACTTTTTTCCCCATTTTTCACACTCAAACAGCACTTTTACTGATGATATAATTGTTGTGATACGTTTTCCTGCTTTGAAACACTAACATTTGTGTTCAGGAAAGTCTCACCGAGTATAACAGTACCCCCCATGTACAGATTTTATAGCGTTTTTGAAAGTTACAGGGTCAAATATATGGGTCAAATATTTTTACATTGAAAATGGCTAGTTTGGTTATGTTGCCTTTGAGAGCGTATGGTAGCCCAAGAATGAGAATTACCCCCATGATGGCATACCATTTGCAAAAGAAGACAACCCAAGGTATTGCAAATAGGGTATGTCCAGTCTTTTTTAGTAGCCACTTAGTCACAAATACTGGCCAAAATTAGCGTTCAATTTAGTTTTTTACTTTTTTCACACACAAATATGAACGCTAACTTTGGC